TCTCGCTCTTGCTCAGGCTGGTTTTGAACTCCTGAGCTCAAACAATCCGCCCGCCTCGGCCTTCCAGAGAGCTAGGATTACAGGTGTGAGCCACTGCGCCCGGCCTAAGAAAACACATTTTTTGATGATGATTGGGAATAGTAATATTATCTTGTTTCTGCTAAAGATAAGATGATTTGCTTGCTTTGTGATACTGCGATATCAACATTAAAGAAATTCAATGCTCATCAGCATTATAACGCTCATAAGGAACACAGATATTTTAAATTAGAGGGAGAGGCATGAAAGGTTGTATTGCAGAAATTAAAAGACAAAAATCAAAAGCAAAGACAATTCTTTGAAGCAGCAATAAGACCTGGAAATAATACCACCAAACAAACTTACAAAGTAGCTTATATATTTGGGGGGCGGGGGAGGGAAGCCATTCAGTGATATAGAAATTGTGAAAGAATGCATTGTTGAAGTTGTAGGATACTTAAGGTCCCAATAACATTTCAAAGTACAAATAACTACCTCTTTCAAGGAGAACCATAACTCATCAGCAGCACAAATTAGCCTTCAACTTAACAGAACTTCATGGGATACTTCAAAAGGAAGACACATAGTATTCGATTGCTTTGGATGAATCAACTGATACTATGGACTCAGCACAGGTTTTATACTTCATTTGAGTCATAACAGAAGATTTTCTTTGCTACAAAGATTTGCTCACTTTGGGCCCTCTCATAAACAGAACACGGGGAATAGATATCTTCAACAACTTTCAAGATAAATGCCATGAAGTCGGACTGAATTTCGTAAATTTAGTGAGTGGATGTACAGACCGCACCTTCCCTGACAGGAAAGCAGGAAGGGTTTATTGCACAGATAAAAAAAGTATTAACGGATCCAGATGCTCTAATTTCTTTTCATTGTATCTTGTATCAGCAAAATCTCTGTGCTAAAGCTACAATTTTAAGTGACACTTTGCAACAAGTTAAAACTATTGTTAACTATATTCATGCAAATGCAACACGGCATCTTCAGTTTCGTAACATGCTAAAGTTGAAAGATGAGGTATTCAGTGCGGATTTGCCGTAACATCCTAAAGTGCGTTTGTTGGCTATTGCAGGGACAGGTGTTAGCCAAAATTTTACGTCTGCGAGAACAGATAGTGAAATTTAATGAAGAACAGAATCAGCAATGTGAATTATTGAAAGAAGATTTCTATAAGAATGCAGCACTTCGGCCAGGCACGGTGGCTCTCGCCTGTA